TAATTACAGTTTGTTAAGCTTAAATAATAGTTACCTAAAGAGGATTAGCAAGACCAAAATAAACATAGATACAAATATCAAGAATACTTTAATTTTTAAATAAAAGGTAAAAATAAATTCTCAGTATTTATTTATTGAAAAAAAAATCGACACCATGCCTAACCCTTCTAGGGTAGGGTAGGTGCCTGAGCCCGAGCCTTTTGCTCATAAGACTGTCATTCCCATTTGCCCCCTTGGGGCAGGGATGGCAGACCAGAGAGGCCTAGCTTGTGGCTAGGCCTGGGGACAGTTAGTCCCAAAGATGACGAGGTACTTGTGCCTCCTCCCATGGGAGACTTACCTAGAGTTTACCTGGAGAGAGTTCCGGGGGTCAACGCCCCCGCAGCCCGGTCTGTGACCAGGCCTCCTGGTGGATCAGAGCCTGATCAACCAGGCTGTTGCTGCTGGCTGCACGCAAACCAACGTACGAGCCACAGCCCGGCTGATTCGGAACTGACTTTAGGTGCTTGTCCAGTGCCAGCTTGAAGACTGCCAGGGGTCTGTTGGTAATCCCCCTTATGTGTGCTGGGAGGCAGTTGAACAGTCTCGGGCCCCTGACACTTATTGTATGGTCTCTTAACGTGCTAGTGACACCCCTGCTTTTCATTGGGGGGATGGTGCATCGTCTGCCAAGTCTTTTGCTTTCGTAGTGAGTGATTTTCGTGTGCAAGTTCGGTACTAGTCCCTCTAGGATTTTCCAGGTGAAATATATCATGTATCTCTCCCTCCTGCGTTCCAGGGAATACAGGTTTAGGAACCTCAAGCGCTCCCAATAATTGAGGTGTTTTATCTCCGTTATGCGCGCCGTGAAAGTTCTCTGTACATTTTCTAGGTCGGCAATTTCACCTGCCTTGAAAGGTGCTGTTAGTGTGCAGCAATATTCCAGCCTAGATAGAACAAGTGACCTGAAGAGTGTCATCATGGGCTTGGCTCCCTAGTTTTGAAGGTTCTCATTATCCATCCTGTCATTTTTCTAGCAGATGCGATTGATACAATGTTATGGTCCTTGAAGGTGAGATCCTCCGACATGATCACTCCCAGGTCTTTGACGTTGGTTTTTTCGCTCTATTTTGTGGCCAGAATTTGTTTTGTACTCTGATGAAGATTTAATTTCCTCATGTTTACCATATCTGAGTAATTGAAATTTCTCATCGTTGAACTTCATATTGTTTTCTGCAGCCCACTGAAGATTTGGTTGATGTCTGCCTGGAGCTTTGCAGTGTCTGCAATGGAAGACACTGTCATGCAGATTCGGGTGTCATCTGCAAAGGAAGATACGGTGCTGTGGCTGACATCCTTGTCTATGTCGGATATGAGGATGAGGAACAAGATGGGAGCGAGTACTGTGCCTTGTGGAACAGAGCTTTTCACCGTAGCTGCCTCGGACTTTGCTCTGTTGACGACTACTCTCTGTGTTCTGTTAGTGAGGAAATTATAGATCCATCGACCGACTTTTCCTGTTATTCCTTTAGCACGCATTTTGTGCGCTATTACGCCATGGTCACACTTGTCGAAGGCTTTTGCAAAGTCTGTATATATTACATCTGCATTCTTTTTGTCTTCTAGTGCATTTAGGACCTTGTCGTCGTGATCCAATAGTTGAGACAGACAGGAGCGACCTGTTCTAAACCCATGTTGCCCTGGGTTGTGTAACTGATGGGTTTCTAGATGGGTGGTGATCTTGCTTCTTAGGACCCTTTCAAAGATTTTTATGATATGGGATGTTAGTGCTTTTGGTCTGTAGTTCTTTGCTGTTGCTTTACTGCCCCCTTTGTGGAGTGGGGCTATGTCTGTTGTTTTTAGTAACTGTGGGACGACCCCTGTGTCCATGCTCCCTCTCCATAGGATGGAAAAGGCTCGTGATAGGGGCTTCTTGCAGTTCTTGATGAACACAGAGTTCCATGAGTCTGGCCCTGGGGCAGAGTGCATGGGCATGTCATTAGGTCTCAGACACTCCCTAAAGAGGGAGCCAAGGCCGGGCCACCACTTGGAAAAGGCCCGGGCCGGGAGAATACCGGCTAGTCTTTAACAATAATAATAATAATTACTGACAAATATGATCCTCATGTTTCACAAACTCTTCAGTGAAATATTTTATGGTATTTCTCACTTTAAAAACAAACAGTAATTTACGAAGGTTGTAGTAAAATATTTAAATTCAGCATTTAAGAATTTTATTATACAATATTAAGACATTCGTTCTATAGTCAATTATTATCAACTCGTATAAATATTTACAAAAGGTTAAAGAGTCGAATCACTGTAAGAGAGACATTCAAGAGGCAGAAGACAAGAGGCAAAGGTCATGTTAAAATGGAGTGCCATAGGAATTGGAGGGAGAAGCTGGTGCGGTATATCCATTGCTGGCACCATTCCCATTACCACCATTACCATTGGCAAAGATACCAGCACCATTTCCATTCCTTCCATTTCCATTTGATCCATAACCATTGTTTCCATTTCTACCATTACTACCTCCGTTTCCATTACGGCCATTGCCATTGGATCCATAACCATTGCTTCCATTCCTACCATTACCATTCCTGCCATTTCCGTTTAATCCATTTCCATTAGATCCATAACCATTGCTTCCATTCCTACCATTACCATTCCTGCCATTTCCGTTTAATCCATTGTCATTAGTGTAGCCATTACCATTCCCGTTAACAATTCCATTGGCAATACCGTTAGCAATGGGACCATAACCATAGCCAGCACTGGGGACGACACCAATCTGTTCGTTGACGGAGTAGAAGTTCTCAGCCTGTGAACAGTCCACGTTGAACCACCAGTCACACACCAGGTACTGCTGGTTGAAAATGGTACCGTTGGGGCACAGGAATGAGTCCTTCTGGCGTCTGAGGGCACGGTCCTGGCAAATGTGGAACACCTGGCAGCTAGCATCAGGGGCAGTGTCAGCGTAATAACCAGCCACTGCCTGGTCATCACAAGAGAAGCCAGTGTCTGGTGGAGAAGACAAGACTGGGTAGTCTTCACCGGGGACGCCACCTCCTGGAATGTTCTCCTGCAGAGCAACCAGCTCCGGATCTAGGCCATAAGAACCTGTTGGGGGACCATACCTGTTACTTGGGGGAGCTCCATATCCATTGCTTGGAGCACCTGCAAACCCATTGCCTGAGGAGAGTCCAAATCCATTGCTTGTAGGGGCTCCATTTCCATTACCTGGAGATGCCCCAAAGCCATTGTTTCCTGGAGGTGTGTAACCATTGCTTGGGCCTCCATTTGAGGCACCAAACCCATTACCGAAACCTCCATTTGGTGCTCCGTAACTTGTAGGAGGACGTCTATCAGCGGCGACTGCCCCCAACATAGCTATAAAAGAAATATATGTTATTACTGGTTGAGATAGTAATATTCTTTAAAATATATCTAAATTCCACAGAGGAAGTTTATATGAAAAATAATTATCAATATTTACCAATGAAAAGTAAAGCCTTCATTGTTTTCAAGACCAGAAAGGTGAAGTAAAAAGAGATGTATTAATCTTGAGTGTTCTAAAGGAAAGAAGTCCTGAAGAATGATGCTGGAGAATGAGTTTGCGGCTCTTTTTATACGTGAGTATCCACTAAGCTCCTCCCACCCACCTTGATCTTCCCTACGCCGCCCGCCAATCGCCCTCTCACTCTCACCCTCATTATATATTTTAGAAGGTCATTCGATATTAAGAACAGATAAACAGATGAACGTTGGTGTAAGTCCATGCAGGGTAGATTCTGAAACATTCTCACTTCTTTGTTTGTATAACCATTTTAATGCTACCCAAATTATTAGCTTCAATGATGCACTTGGCAGCACTTTCCTATTTTCGTTTTAATCTGAATACGTATATTCAAACTGTGTCCATCGTTTCGAGTTCAATTTTGGCTAGATAGCCTAAACACTATATTCGTATATTTTATTGTCATAATTATCTTCCATGTGTACACTTCAAACTCATCTTCCCTCATTCTGCGCCTTTCAAGAGTGCATAGTCAAAGGATCCCAGAAAAATTTCCAGATACAGTGAATTAACTTCTTCATCCTTCTCTGTATGTTTTCCAATACATATTTATTCAAGGAGACCATAACTGTGCAGAGTGATCTAAATGAAGCCTTACCAATGATGCATAGAGCAGGTGTATAACTTGCAGTTCTCTTACCTACACTTCTTGCTGTAAACCAAAGTATTCTCTTAGCCTTCTTTCGGACGCTTAGGCACTGCTGTTTTGGCTTCATATTTCTGCTTGTCAGGACTATGAAGCCTTTTTCGCATGTGATACGATCAAGCTCTTCATTTATCAGTTTATACATGCCAGAGTGACATTTTATTCTGAAAGGATAGTACTTTGTGCTTGTCCACATCAAACTGTATCTGCAACCTTTCTGACCACAATAATTGTCCAAATATTTCCGAAGTTAATTAAGTGGTACCCTCCACCAAATTTGTTGCTCGGCCTATTTTTTTTTTTTTTTTTTGTACTCTACCTACCTGAAGTCTTCATGGAGAGTGTTCCTAGGGTCAACGACCTCCCGATGAATGCCCTAATCAGCCAGATTATTTGTACTAGCCACACAAAGTCCAACATATGCGCCACCACCCGTCTGATCAGGGACTGACTTGAGAAACTTGTGTGGTTCTCTCTTGAAGAGAGCCAGAGATCTGCTGGTAATCCCCCTTCTATATAAAGGGAGGGTATTGAAAAGTCTTTATCTCACACATATTGAGTTTTTCCTTGGTGTAGTCACTGCACCCTTCCTTGTTATTGAAGGTATTTTACACCGCCTGCCAATCCTCTTTCATAAAAAATAATTTGTTTGAGCAGATTAGGGAACAGTCCGAGAATTTTCCAGGTGTAGATCATAATGGATCTCTCACGACTTCCAAGGTGTACACATCGAGGGACTTTACCCGTTCCCAGCAATTAAAGTTCTTGTCTGAGATAATGCGAGCATTGAAAATTCTCTGCATATTTTCTGGGTCTGCATTTTTTTAATCATATAATACTGTTAACAATTTCTTGAAAGGCAACGACAGTATTTCAATAAGCCTTGAGTCCTCTATTGCATATAAATACACGTGTGAGCGCTGTAAACCCTCATGTACAGGTCAGTCAACAAGACACATGTGCTACATCTGGGTATCTATACTTTGTAGACCTTTCGCCATCCAGTGACTTGATCAATACAATACACAGATATTATCTGAAGACTGTATAAATGCATACAGACGACAGTGGAAAACGCGGCAGTCTGTCCCTCAGTCTATGAGCAGGTGATGCGCACCGTGGTCTTGAAGAATCTGCTGCTCAGGTGCTTCTGAAGACTATGGTGCTCATCACCTTCTCCTGGGCTGTAGGACTGATTACCTCGCTTTTCACTGTCTTCTGTATATATTGTTTGGGGATGGTCAAGCGTCTACAAAGGTACCCAGATGTTGCACGTGTCTAATTCATCATCTTATGTACCATTGAGCTATTAAACAAAGGGATTTAATAATTCGTATCCATGAGCACCAGGGAATATCAAGCCGAACGAAACTTGAGATTTCTAAACCACCGTTCAGTTCCATTAAGAAACTCTCCCACACACTAGCACCTCAGGTTTCATGTGTTAACACATAGACGGTGCACATCGTATCATGCTAACTTGCTGTAGGTGGAAATGAAAGCTCAATACACCTATTATGCTTCTGCGTGAGTTCTGATACTACTTAGGTTAGGTTAAGTTAGGTTAGGTAAGATTCCTCAGGGAACAGGAGAAGTGTTATCTGTCGCCACTGGAGCTTTTGGTCATTTGGCCGAGGCCTTCCACTGGCTTACCAGTTCACCACTTTAAAATTTAATGTTAATCTAGTAAGTTCTGATTATATTTGGTGTTATCCTCTATAAAAAAAAGTTCAAATATTTATATTTATGTGTTTTTATGTAACATTGTTTTCTTGCCTTTTTGACAATCTTACTTTAATTTTTACCAATTCATCTCACGTTAGTATTATGATTGTCATTTAGTCGTATTAAATTTTCTCTCCGTTCATTGATTTTTTTGGATTATCGATTTGATTAATTTGCCTCTGTTAACTCTTCAAGATTTTGGATATTTTCTCTTTGATTAATTTATACAGCAAAGATTTAATAAAATAGTATTAATATTATAAAGTGATGTAAATAATTAAAAAATATTAAATCTTAGTTACCTAACGAGGATTAACATGACCACAATAAAAAAAAACAAATATTAAGTAAATTTTAATTTCTAAACAAGATACAAAATTTAATTTTCAGTAATTAATACTGAGAAATAATAATATCATGGTTATAATTATTTCCTTAATTTTTTAAATGGGTGAACGGGTAAGCCAGTAGAAGGCCTCTGTCAGATGACCAAAAGCTCCAATGCCTGGTCATCACGAACCCTTCAGTGAAATATTGATGGCGATTCTCACTTTTAAAGCAAACAGCAATTTACGAAGGTTGTGGTAAAATATTTATATTCAGCATTCAAGAAATTTTATTAAACGATATTAAGATATTTGTTCTATGGTGAGTTATTATTATAAACTCGTATAAATATTTACAAGAGGTTCAAGACTCATTAAAGAGTCGAATCACCCTAGCAGAGACATTCAAGAAGAAGACAAGAGGCAGAGAATCATATATTAAAATGGAGTTCCATAGGAATCGGAGGAAGAAGCTGGGACGGTATATCCATTGCTGGCACCATTCCCATTATCACCATTACCATTGGTAAAGATAACAGCGCCATTTCCGTTCCTTCCATTTCCATTAGATCCATAACCATTGATTTCATTTCTACCATCACCAATGGCACCATTACCACCTCTCTTTCCGTTTCTTCCATTTCCTTTGGAACCATAACCATTGCTTCCATCCCTACCATTACCATTCCTGCCATTTCCATTTTTGCTATTTCCATTAAATCCATTGCCATTATTATAGCCATTACCATTCCCGTTTCCAACTCCGCTAGTAATACCATTGGCAATGGGATCATAGCCAGCACTGGGGACGACACCAATTTGTTCGTTGACGGAGTAGAAGTTCTCAGCCTGAGAACAGTCCACGTTGAACCACCAGTCACACACCAGGTACTGCTGGTTGAAGATGGTACCGTTGGGGCACAGGAATGAGACCTTCTGGCGTCTGAGGGCACGGTCCTGGCAAATGTGGAACACCTGGCAGCTGGCATCAGGAGCGGTGTCAGCGTAATAACCAGCCACTGCCTAGCCATCACAAGAGAAGCCAGTGTCTGGTGGAGAAGACAAGACTGGGTAGTCTTCACTGGGAACGCCACCTCCTGGGATGTTCTGCAGAGCAACCAGCTCCGGATCTAGTCCATAAGAACCTGATAGGGGACCATATATGTTACTTGGGGGTGCTCCATATCCATTACTTGGAGCACCTGCGAACCCATTGCTTGGGGAAAAATCAATCCACTTCTTAATAGAGCTCCATTTTCATTGCTTTGAGAAGCTCCAAATCCATTGCTTCCTGGAGGTGTATAACTATTGCTTGGGGCTCCATGTGAGGCACGAAGCCCATTACAAAAACCTCCATTTCGGGCTCCGTAACTTGTGGGTGGACGTTTGTCAGCAATGGACACACCTAGAAGTGCTGTGGAAGAAAAATTAGTAGTTTTAACTATTTGAAGTAACAAAATTCTTGCAAAATTTTCTGTATTCTTAAAAATAGTTCATATTAGACAATATTTCTACACTGATAGTTAAATAGTACTCACCAATGAACAAGAAAACTTTCATGATTGCCAGTCAGCAGAAACAGTAACAAGAATGAGAAGTACAGATCATGAGTCAGTAAGAGGAAGGTGTTGAAGCATGATGCACTCTAATGAGTTTGTTGGGTCTTTATACCCAGGTCTCCACCAAGCTTCTCCCACACACTTTGCTCCTGTTCACTACCTCGCCTCTTCAACTTCCTCTCACTCTCGCTCACGATTTGCATTCTGATAGTCTCTCAAGACTGGTCCTTTCGACGTGCCGTTTGTGTTAAAACATTGTGAGTCCATGTGAATTCCCCGCACTAAAGGCCTCTTCCGGAGGCATGTCGGCCAAAAAAGGGCCCATAGTCTCGTGGTGTCATTAATGTTTGAGTGTGACTTAGCTCACTGGCTTCATATATTAGCCCTTCTCTTCATTCTAAGGGTTCCTTATCATATATTTTTAAATATACATGTACCATACATACGTTATCATATTTCATCATTTGGAAAATATGCTTGTGGTGCTAATTAACACAATATTCAAGGTGCTATTATTGATAATATTTTCTTAAGGCCTAAGACCTTTTCTTAAGACCCTGGTGATCTCCGAGTTCAGAGTTCTAGTGATCTTCCAAGATTATACATAAAATTGATTGACCTATCTTGATAAATTTATCATTCCTGACTGACATATCATCTTGTCTCATTGTTATATTATTAAATTGTCAATATATATTTTTATCTGCATGTTCAAGTGCTTGCTTTGTTTATCATATTATTTTTTCTGATGTTTTT